TGGACATCTAGAATTTTCCTTATACATAATCCTCCTTACCGAATTGTTTCTCTCACATGCACGCGGGTCCTGCATGAATAAAACAATCTCAAGATGTGGATCTCACCACCCTATTGTGAGTAGTACGTAAGGAATTATGTAAAAAAAAATTTGTACATGTAACATGATTCAAAGAAAATAATCTCCAGTCTCTTTAAATCCCGTTTGGTTGAGCTAATAAAGTTACTCAAAATTAAGTCAAGGCCAACAGTTATTGCACTAATTTTATCTACTTTTTAATCATATATTTCAACAACTTTTATCAAAATTTATTAAAACTCTGATTTTTAACAAAACCAAACGGGGGCTAATCATGCACAATTAAAATCCAATTCGTTATAGATTCTCCTAAGGTTGCAATGTCAATGAATAGAGACAGTTTTCTCAGCTCATTAGAAAAAGAGAATCACCACTTCATGTCAAGAGCGTTGATGGGTATGGTTGGAGATTGGTTTAATAAAGTTGATTTTCATGGATTCGTTAGTTGAATACAATAGCTAGGCCGAAAGTGCGCTATTTGGGGAGTAAATTATCTTAATAAAACTAATTGTTTGAAATCAACTTTGGACAAATGAGAAATTAAATGTCTAAAGTGTTGTGCTAGGGGACATGAGATCTGAATGCAATCCTTCAAGAAACACCAGAAAGAGCGTCTCGAAAATGTTAAGATAAGTTATGAAACACGCCTCAAGGAGAGGAACCCAAAAAAGGATGGCCTGGTTTGCACCTGCCCAGAACGCCTCAAGGAGAGGAACCCAAAAAAGGATGGCCTGGTTTGCACCTGCCCAGAAATCGAGTGATCGCCATTTTCAGGTTGATCTTTGACATCGGTAAGGACAGAATGGTTGAAAGGGTTGATCCGCTAGTCAATATGGGTCAGATTACCAGGGTTACTGTCCCAGTAAATCTTGCCCTTGTGGTTGTTGCAGAGGTCGATGATCTTACGTTGGTGGTCTTATTAATGGCTATGGGATGGAAGGAAGTTCCCACATTTATGACCTTTTCTTTGATACTGATGTAGCTTATGAAATTGTTCTATCTGACATGCAGTTGGTAAGAGCTACAAAGAATAATGAATACTCTGACCTTTTTCATGCTATTCCATGGTCTCAGGGGACACTCGGACTCCTTGTTGCTGCTGAGATTAAGCTTATACATATTAGGAACACATGAAACTTAGAAGACTGTAGTGAGCAATCTGAAAGACCTTGCAAAAGACCGGGGATGGAGATTAGGACAACCCTGAAAAGGTTCCCGACTTCGTTGAAACCATGATTTACTCTCCTGCAGAAGCAGTTTGCATAACGAGAAGTTATGCTTCTAAAGATGAAGCTAAAAAGAAGGGTAATAAAATTAATTCTGTTGGTTGGATTCAATCCCTAGTTTTACCAGCATGCTGAGATGGCACTGAAGATGGAGTTTGTGGGGGTAGATTCCCACCGAAGAATATTATCACGGAGGTGCATATACTGAGAATTGAAGCTCAATGTGAAGCCTTCAGGAATTTTACCATGAAATGCATGTCATTCAGGATATGTTTGTTCCCCTTTACAAGTTGGAGATGCTCTGGAGTGGTTTGACTGTGAGATAGAGGTATAGTTTTATTTGTTTCTGCATTGTACAGATGACTTAGCTCACGATGCTAATTTAATAATTTTTCTTTTTGACAATTGATGTGCACGTGTATTACAAGTATGCTATTATAGAGAAGAAGAATGTTGAGAGAAACTTTATTCAACTCAATTGAAACAATACAGGAAGAGTTCAAATGTATAAATACAACCCAAGAAGTAAAATAGCGGGAAAATGAAAAAGACGGGAAAGTTAGTTCACAACTAAAATAACAAACTAAACTATCTAATGTTCCACACGAGCTTGACAGCTAAGATGAGCCAAGATCCAGTTAGATAATTCACTGGCTTTGATACTCCCCCTCAAGAAGAGCCATGGATATTAGTAATAACCATCTTGGACAGCAAATGATGTAATGCGCCTGTAGGTAATGGCTTAGTGAAAATATCTGCAAGTTGATGATTTGTTCGGACTGGCAGCAGTTTGATAACTCCATCATTGATTTTGTCTCTTAGATTTTGTCTCTTACAAAATGACAGTCTATCTCTATATGTTTGGTACGTTTGTGGAAGATGGGGTTGGTAACAATGTGAACGGCTGCCTGGTTATCAGAAAAGATTAAAGCAGGTTTCTTGATATCCACATGAAAGTCACAAAGTAGTTGTTGTACCCATATTAATTCATTGGCAATCAAGGCCAAAGCACGGTACTCAGCTTCTGCAGATGATCTGGATATAGTGTTCTGTTTCTTCGCTTTCCAATATACCATCAAATCCCCAAGGAAAACATAGAAACCAGTAACTGATTTTCTCGAGTCTAAGCAGGAACCCCAATCAGCATCAGCATACGCACGCAATTGTAAAGATAAACCAACAGAAAATAGAAGTCTCTGGCCTGGAGTAGCTTTGATGTAATGTAGTAAATGATGCACAACATTTAAATGAGGCTTTCGAGGCTGTGAAACGAACTGACTCAGTTTATGAGCTATAAAAGTGATGTCCGGCCTAGATACTGTTAAGTAGAGCAATCGCCCAATCAACCTTCTATACATAGAACTATCTTCTAATATCCCCCCCTCAAAGGAGTTCAGACGAAATTTGGGATCCATGGGCACAACAGCAAGCTTGTAGCCAAGGAATCCAGTGTCATGTAGTAACTGGAGGGCATAATGTCATTAGGATAGAATAATCCCACTATGTGATCGAGCAAACTCCAATCCAAGAAATTTTTTTAGCTTGCCAAGATCTTTAAGTTTGAATTGGCCGTGAAGAAATGCCTTTAAATCATCAATGATACAAGAGTTCGATCCTGTGATAACTATGTCATTGACATACACCAGCAGGGCAACAAAATTATCCCCAAAACCTCTAGTAAAAAGGGAATAACCAGACTTAGATTGGTGGAATCCATGTAATATAAGAGCATGGGAAATTTTCGAAAACCACTATCTTGAAACCTGTTTCAAGCTATAAATTGATTTATGTAACCTGCAAACCAAATGCTTCCCCTGTCTGCTAGACGAATTAGAAATGGTATAGCCTAAAGGCAAGTCCATATAAATTTCCTCAAACAGATCCCCATGAAGAAATGCATTATTCACATCCAACTGAATGATGTGCCATTTGTTTATTGCTGCTATAGCTAACAACAGCTTCACAGTCACCATCTTAGTTACTGGAGAGAAGGTTTCCAAGAAATCGAGCCCCTCTTATTATGTAAAACCTTTTGTAACAAGGCCTGCCTTGTGTCGTTCAACACTCCCATCAGATTTGTACTTGGTTTTAAAAACCCACTTGCGGCCAATAGTGTGTTTTCCTTAAGGTAAAGTGGTAATGGACCAGGTTTTGTTTAGCTTCATAACACCTAGTTTTGCAGCCATTACATCTCTCCAATGAGCTTCCTTCATAGCCTGATGATAATATTGTAGATCAATGTTTGATGATATGTTTAAGGTAAAGTTTTTATGTGACGGAGAAAGCTTAGAATAGGAAAGATAGTAGCTTAAGGGGTAATGATGAGATGATGAAAGAGTGAGGGATGAGGAATTGGACAAGAGATTACAATGGAATTATTGCAAGTATGAAGGAGTTTTGCTAGTTCTTAAATATCTCCTGAGAGCCGGAGCAGTAGGAGCAATAGAAATATGATCAATAGGATCAGCAAGATTCTGTAAAGTGATAGGAGGATGATGATTGGATGTAGGAATATTAGTAGAGCGAATGCTTGGTGAAGGCATATCAGCA